GAGCCACGGATTCCAAAAAGGGGGTTTGGATCCAGCCACCTTTGAGCACTCTGAGATCTCTCTCTGAGTAAGGAAGCCATCTTCACCACGACCAATTCAAGTACCACAGGAAAATTGAGTTGCAACCAGCGGCTGCATCATTCCACTCCGTCCGAATTCTGGGTAAGCCCTGTTCCGCCCTCCACCGAATCAAACAAACCCTGGAAGACCAACACACAGACTGGGGTCTACGTGTCTCTTCTTCTCTGGAAACGTGAGTGGCAACAAATCCTCTCCTTCAAGATTAACAACTCCAATTCCCCACTGAGCCTGAATCTAACAGTCTGTCTTCCCTTCGTCTTCCAGTTTCCGGCTGAGCAGAGTTCGGAGGAACTCTGCACTGAACTCCTTATACTCTTCAATAAAACCTGTTGCACTTTTTCACTGTGTCTCCCTGTTTGGCTTCACTGCATGTGGGTCCGAGCTTTAGAAAAATCATGACAAAGACATTATTACCTTTGTAACGTTCAAAAAGTCTGGATATTTTGATGGCAAAAATGAATGTCAATGTAATAGCAGGAAACGCCAATTTGCCCGAATAGAGAAGAAAAATAACAAAAGTTCTTCTATAAGAAATTTATGAAAAACACTCTGAGAGTGAAAGAAACACATTTTCTTCGGTCCAACACAACCTTAGAGGCATTAATGCTGATACTGGCGATGACATTTTTTAGTTTATAAACCTAAATATAATTGTTAGCTAGGGTTATTGACTTTTCAACTTTTCAATTAGCTTTTTACCTTTTTTTCTTGACTTAACTTTTTTTTTTCCCCAACTTAATTTCCGGTAGGTAATATATCATTCAAGGGCTCATCTAATTGGTCAAATGCCAAAATAAGATGTACAAACATGTAGCAGCATCTTTGCTGAATGGCTGGATATAGATCTTGTGCTTCTAGACCTCACTGAGGGACTGGGGGGTCTATTTGTAAGGGGTATGCAAGGGATCAAAAACAGTAACTTACCCTATAAAGGGTAAAGAAGTAAACTGTTTTCATTGAGCAGATTAGATCCTAAAACTGCCGCTTTTTCTCTTTCCTCTGCCTCACCTCAACACTCGCTGATCAGAGAACGCAGATGTTTATTTACTGGGCAAGGCAGCGCAGTCAAGGAGGGTACTAAGGAAACAACTGGTCGGTTGGACAGTTGGTCGATTGGTCAATCATTGATTCATTCATTGGTTGGTTGATTGATTAGTTCGTTGATCTGTTACTTAATCCCTGACTTCTTCATTGGTTGGTTGCTCAGTTGATCAATCATAGATTCATTCATTGGTTGTTTCTTTGTTTGATTGATTAATTGGTTGATCGATTACTCAATCATTGACTCCTTCATCGGTTAGTTGATCAGTCATTGATTCAATCATTGGTTGGTTGTTTGATTTATTAGTTAATTGATTAGCATGATATTGATTTTGGTTCTGTTTTGTAACACAGTTAATACCTGAAGAAGGGTGTTGCATACATAGATCATTTAACATTTAAAATTGAAGTGGTCTAGAGTCCCAACTTGAATCTTGACACAGAACCTCTGAAGGGAGCCAAAGATAAAGGTTATGGAAGGGAGGCTTTTCCAACTCAAAGACTTAGATTTGATTGCTAAACAGAAATGATAATTATACCAATAGAAACATGGACATAAATGATGCACTGCCATTGCAGGATTCAGTTCATTCTATTTGCAGGGTTCGTACACCTTTTCCAAAGTCAAAATCAAGCACTTTTGAAGCACAGATCCATTTTAAAACTTTTTCCAGCACCTTACGGAACCAGTTTTGCGCGGATGACTTGCCAAGATAGTGCTGCGGGAAACACTGCAATACTAACATTACATTATCACACCGTACTCTCTGTCAGTCAGTAACGTAGCCTGTGAATTCCTAGCTAGCAGTTACTAGCGTAAACAAATAGGCGCTAACGTTAACGTGTACTAGGCTACTTCAGTTGGCTAACTTAAAAGTCGATGACTGACTCTTCATGTGACTCGACAGCGCAGACACGCCCATTGTGAAAAGCTGCACATCTTTTTTGCAGACTTTACAAGAGGCAACTGGTGGGGTTTGTCCCCGTTTAATCCATAATTTGTATTTTTCATCTTCCAGCCAACGTTCACTGAAACGACAACCTCCCGGCATGGTGCAGTAGTGGTTTCATGGGGGCGGAGTCACACATGGAAATAGACTGGCAGATCGCAGTCACACATAAGCGAGCAGGTTTCATTTTCGGGCTCTCCAACATTTTATTTCTCCATTTAATAAACACACGATTCAGTTAGATGGGTATTGGTTGCGAAAGGAAATTGTTACAATTTCAAGCATTTTCAAGCATTTCATCCAAAATATAAGCACTTTTCAAACCTTGAAAACACAACGTCAAAATTCAAGCATTTTCAAGGATTTCCAGCACCCGTACGAACCCTGTCTTTGACATGCCTGTTAAGGGTTACCTACCAACACACCTATCAGACATAAACCTCTGGCCTAAAGGGATTCTTATTTAGTTCAAATCCGCTAGTTATGAATATTTTTGGCCTAAACGATACATATAAAAAATATAAATGACCTTAATACCACATTTCCACAAATCTCCAGAGGCTTTGACACTTCACTACTCCCTTTAAATATCCCCTCCCTGTGGCCCCAGATTTCTGAGCCAGTCCCGCTGTACGGGAGCTCATAGGTGAGGGAGATTTCCTCCCTTTTCTCCTCATCTTTCCAGGACAGTTCACCACCTTAAAGCAGGGATACGCATCAGGAGGTTGAAGGTCCCTACTCTTATGATTGTTGTTTGAGGTTATGATCTCCTCCTTTCAAACCTGGCACACTGGAAGACCTTTTACAAATGAACAGTGAAAGATGCTTACATTTTTATAAAAGCTTAATGAGTCAGATAGAAACTGATATTTTTTTGCTTCTCCAACAGAAATTAAAACAGCGGTCATTGAGAAGGTTATACAAATCTGCTTATTAGCTAAAAGGAAGGAAAAGGAAAATGTATGCTTGCCCTGTTTTTTAAAAACAATCCAGCAGAATAAAAAAAAAGTCAGATAACCCTATTTAGTATTGCTTGACATTGTGTGTAGACCAATGGCTGCAAAGGCAGAGCTAAACTGCACCTACTGCAGCCTGAAGCACCAGAACGGGTACAGTTGTTGCAGAAGATTAGAGCGTGGTTCCAGGTGATGCATTTCCATTAAAGCCAACAGGACATTAGAGTTAAATGGACTAATTAAAAGTGTTTCATTCACACACATAATGTATGGACCAGCAGTTTCACACGGACAAAATTCCTCAGTAGCAGCAGTCTGGACAGAGATAAGGAACAATGGAGGTTCTAGATCAAAATTACTAGGGGGGCAAAGAACATAAAGGAACAAAGAAGAAAACAGGGAAATATTTCATACTGGGAGTGGAGTAAAAAAGTCTGCTCTCCAGTGGCTGGAAGTTGGAGGGAAGCAGGTTGCCATTCGGCTGCCGTTGGACTGGGAAGGGCCATTTTGAATGGCTGCTACTCTATATTTTTCTAGAACATGATGTAGCTTTTTTGTCTTTCTAGCAATAAACTGTCAACAAAACCAGTTCAAATGTTGTATTATATGGTCAAAATGGGAAAAACTTTGGAAAGGCTTGAATAGTTTTCTGTGGCACGGTGATTTAAAATGCAAAGAAGCCAAGCGCATGATTGTAAGTTATGTTTTGTGAAATATTTATCTGCCGTGACGGGCTGTCCTCAGCTCGTTTTTGGCACACTAACAGACCGTGTGGCATTTACTCTGTTCGTGTTCACCAATAGTCTTCAGAATTTTATAGCCTAACCAAACGCGTTTGTCTATGTTCTTATCTTTGGTAAACTGCCGACGTACGGAACAGCAAATTAGCATAGCCCCGTAATCATTTACCCCATTTACACTACCCTTGAAAAACCTACTGAGACTGGTCCAAGCTCAGTAATGCAACTTTTGGTGCATTACCGCCACCAACTGCTTGATTTTCTCCTTCAATTCTGGCAGTAATACCGCAGATCGTCACTAGGAGGCGAGGAGTCGAGGAACCGACATAGCGTGATGTGTAAACAGTCGTCAGAACCGAGCTCGGCCTGGTTAACTGATCCGAGCTTTATCAGAAGACTGACTGACTCCTGCTAAAATGCAACTACATAACCCCGCTATGTAACTAACTGGGAGCTAAACGCAACTTGTTGGCAAACGGAAATGACGTAGTTGCGTTCTCGAGTCACATGTGCGAGTGTTACAGTTACAATTGCCTTCTGTATCTCTGTTTGTTTCTGTATGTCAGCAGATGGCCGCTCACACTGAGCCTGGTTCTGCCGGACGTTTCTTCCTGTTCCAGGGGAGTTTTTCCTCTCCACTGTCGCTACACGCATGCTTTGTGTGAGGGATTGCTGAAGAGTCAATAAGTCANTATATTAGCTGCTACATATGAATCAAGATGCTATGACTGAAAAAATTTAACAGAAGACCGTTGGTATATGATTGGCCTAATTTAGGTGTTCAGGCTGACATATAACTAACTGGTCTGCATAAGATAAGGAGAAAAAAACAGATTTTAAGACAGGATTTTTTTTTAAATAGAAATCTTCTAAATTTTTGGACAATATGTCCTGATAAAGAGTACATTTATATATACATGTTTAAGCCAGAATGATTTGACAGTTAAAAATCACTTCCCTACGACTTAAATGACGGCATTTTGAATTAGAGCTGCAATATAGGCTGACTGGTGGTGAATTTTTTTTATCTTAAGGAAGGAAGCAGATGTGATGGCGTCTGTACCAAGTGTGAGTCCATCTCTGTTGATTTTGGACCCGATTGCACATTTAAAGCATCCGATCAACTCAGAGCAGAATTGCATCAACCTTCCATCGCTCCTCCTTTGCCTCCCAGACTAAGAGGAAGCAGTTTTATTATTTAGCGTCCAACATTATTACTGCAGGTCCTGTATCTATACAGAGTGCTGGGGTTGTCTGACCTGCTCCACTCGATGTCTGGTCTGTAGGTAGGGGTCATAACGTGCTCGGATCGCCCTCATGGACGTTGGCTTTTAGAAACACAGAATAAAAACAATAAAGGGAAAGAACATGGCAGCATTTTTCAGTCAAACTCTTGAGATTATTCCTAAAAACAAGAACTTTAGATTAAGGTTGACTTATAGAGTAGAGCCTGACCTCATAGCCGGTATACGACTGTGTGGAGTATTCAAAATCAGAGTCAGGTCCACCGGGACAGTAGCTGCCAAGGACAAAAACAGACAAACATGTAAATAAATGGAGTATTAGGAAACCAAGGCATTCTTAAACGGAGACATAGAAACAAAAACAAAAAACCCTACAAGTAGCTACTCAAACATTTTTACTTCACACAGAGGTTTATACTGCATACATGAGTACAGGGTAATACTCACACACAGATGTTTCCAGTGAAGCTAATGTGAGGACATCTATGTGGTTTGCACATCACAGCCACCACTGCAATCTGTGGAAACAGACCCAGGAGACGAACATTTGCCTTTGTTCATTTTCTGACAACAAAGAGCTGCTATCATCCAATCATTCCATAAATCAGACATTTAACCAACTGCTAACCTCGACTTTTAGATTAAAGTGTTAACACAGAACGGGAAGGGGGCTGAAGTCGATCCACCGCTCTAACGTAGATGAGAGAACGAATGCACAACTAATGCAGCAGTAGCACCGATCGCCTATGCTAAGCACCTAGCTTGTTTTAGCTACAATTATACTCAACCTTCTGATGGTAAATTTTGTATTTTATTTTTATCTAGTATTTAATGGGATTGTTCCTTCTGTAAAGTGACCAATGTGAGCAAAGGCCGATGCAATAACACATG